ATATACATATGGGATAATCTAACTTTGTGTTACTCTGGCGTTTACAATTAGGCCTCTTTAGTGTGTTATATTTTTCGGCTCTTAGTAGGGAGATTTTATACCATTTCTCAATCAGAAGCTTTCGTTGCATTGGTTGGATGTTTTCCCACTATCTTTATTTTGATTTCTTGTCCTACATATTTCCTTTTGGAATATTTGGAGGTATTTATGCCTGCCTTATCCAATATAGTTGATTAGTTGTTGTGAAAGGGATGTAATCTTGTGGCTTCACAGATAGCAGGGTGAAACCTGTATTGGAAAACTTGTCTAATCAGATAATATTAGCTAATTATACTCTGATGGGCTAATTATAGAACTGGCTTTTGGCCAAAGATTTTGGAATGTGAGAAGCAGCTGCTTTCTAATAGGTAGGATATAATGATTGCTTCATCTTGGGAGTTTCCTATTTTCTTTCTCCCTTTTCTTAAGTACTGTTCTAATTTATTCCAAATATATCAATCAAATGTTGGCTTTTAACTATCCATGTGGGAAAAGATCCTGTTGCTGTGCATGGATTAATCTGTTAGAGTTGATTAGTCTGACTTCTACTTGGTTTAGCAATGGAAAACCATAATAGAATACAAATTGATAAATGCCATGCATACACTTAAGATTTTATTTATTTATTTATTTAAACTACTGATTCAGGATTCTGAATTGACTGTTGTTATCAGTATACCAATGATTTTCTTTTAAATTGCTAACTTTAAGATTTTTCTGGGAAGTACCTATATTTTTTCATTTCTGTGTTTCATGTTTAGATGTGTGTATGTGTGTGTGTGTGTGTGTATAAAATACTGACCTTGTCCAGACATGTAGAAGGTATAAGACCTAGGTATATTTAGTCATGTTGTAAGAAATTGGGATGAATCTTTGTAGACAGTGGAGAATCAGTTGTAGTATGCTTCCTATAACCTTTAAAAAGCACCTTGCTTTGCATAATTTTTGTTAGACCAAAATTTCTAGTTGACAGTGTTGAATTGATGGATCACTACTTCAAATTTTTACTCAAACCAAACCAAACTCTCTGCTGTCGAGTCTGATCCGACTCATAGTGACCCCTCCTTGGAATTCCAAGGCAGTATCACTACAGAAGTAGATTGCCCAACCTTCCTTCCGAGGAGTGGCTGGTGGGTTTGAACCACCAGCCTTCTGATTAGCAGTCAGATGCCTTAGGCACTGTGCCACCAGAGCTCCTAATTTTTACCAAGAGTATCCAATTATGTGTCTTACTTTCATCAGAAGACATGACTTATGACATGTGAGTTTATGTATTATTGAAATTTATTGGAAAACAAACCTATTGGTGAAGGATTGTTAATATACTCAAATTATGTTGATTGCATATAGTGCAGTCTGTGAAAGCAGGTTTTTTTTTTTTTCTTTTCCCCGCTGATAAACATCACATTAGGAGATCTGATTCAGGCTTCACTCTGCCCTTCCTGAACTCAGTAACTTTGAAGAAACTTCTTAACCTCTCTGTGCTTCAGCTTACTCATTTATAAAATAAGTACATTGGAATAGCTTACCTTTAAAGTCTCTTCTTGTTAAAAAATTCTGTAGTTTCATATAAAGTGAGGGCATTTTCCTGAGTCTTCCCTTTCTAGTGATACTTTGGGGATTGACATTTTGAAAGAAAGCTATCATTGTGGTCAAATTTGATTATTACCACTTTGAAGACAGGTTGTAAATTTTAAGCTCTATATTCTTTAGCTAAAAATTTCAGGCCACGTATGGTATGAGTATTTGGTTATTCTTGTGTTTTTCTTTTGGTAACTAGTCAGGCCGATGTCTTACAATGTGGTTGTGTGATTGCCATCAGAAATTTTGAAATAAGCAAAGAAGAGTTGATTGACCTAGTTTTAGCATGCTATATCATTGAAAAAATTTGCAGAGTATCTTATAAATTATTTACTCCAACCCCTTCATTTAACAGATAAAGAAACATGCCTCATAATATTTGTTAACTTACTCTAACTTACATGCTATGCTTGTGTCAGAAAAAGAACATTGATCTTTTCTTCATTCAATCAGTAACATCTGTTTGAACCTATAAAGCAGCTTCTTTTCTCAAGACCAGCTTCTAATGATTACTTTTTAACATTCTTATTTTGATGCTAAATAGCTCTCTCTTTCCTTAATGAAGAGCAAAATAACTTTCTTATTTCCAAATATATTTGACTTATTCTATCTTTACTTCTTTCAGTCCCTATTTATTGAGCTCATACTTTGTACAAGACGCACGCTTTGAGCTACATGCATTTAATGATGAGTAAAGTATCACCTTCCCAAATTGAACTTATTTTGAAACTTTGAAATTCCTCTAGTGTCTTGTTTTTTCCTTACCTTCTCAAGCTCAATAGTGTTAGAAAATACTGTCATTATTGCTTCTAAAATATTAGTCTTCTAAATGGCCTTCTGGGCTCCAAACAGTTTCTGCATCTGATTTCTTCCAGCTTCCCATTTTTTGCAGTTTTCTATTTCTTTCTCTTCCTTTAATTTTCTCTCCTCTCTCTCTCTCTCTCTTTTTTTAATTTAAATTCCATTCTATAGTTGTTTCTGAAGTTGGCTTCCTAAAAAATTTTTTTTTAAAAATTATTTTGTCCATGTCTCATACCTGGCACTATTCTGATCACTGGAGAGACTTTTTCTGTAAAGTTTCCACTCTATTGGAACTTTTAATCTAATCAGAGGAGAATAATGAGCAATAAATACAAAATACTAGGTAGGGATAAACACTGTGAAGAAAAACTATGAAGTATGAAGCATGGTTTAGTGGATAGAAACTGATAGGTTATGCTGTTTTTTATAGTGTGGTCTGGGAAGACCTCTCTGATAAGATGATTTTTGAGGAAGTGAGTTCTTATAATATCTGGAGGAAGAACATTCCAAGTAGATGAATTAAGAAGTGCAAAAGCCTTAGAGCAGAACTGTGGTTGTAGTGGTTGAGAAAGCCCAATGACAACAGCTTACTAAGGATGAAAGGAGTCAGAGAGAGAATAGTATGCTTCTTGGGCTATGAGAAGGGTTATAAAGTTTGCTTGTAGTAATATGGAAGCCATTGGGAATTTTTGGGAGCTGTGTGATGTTTATTTATTGAACACCCATTGTACCAGGTATTATTTTATTGAAGAGGGTCCACGTAGCTTGTCTGCCTATTCCACCATCTTACTGCAAGTCCATGTGCCATGTATTGTTTTAAAAGTTGTAGATATAGCAGTAAATAATAGTTCCTGTCCTTGTGGAGATTATATCTTGCAGTTTAGATGATTGCCCCTAAATTTAAGGAGTTCTTGTGCCTTTAAATTTAAGGAGTGGTTAAGCTCTCACCTACTAACTGAAAGGTTAGTGATTTGAACCCACCAGACACTGGGAGAAAGATATGGCAGTACTTCTGTAAAGATTTAGTCTTGGAAACCCTATTGGTCAGTTCTACTCTGTGTTGCTATGAGTCAGAATTGGCTTGACAGCAGTGGCTTGGGCTCTTAAATTTTAAAAGAATATTCTAGCTTTCTCAGCTAGCAAGAGTAGAATCACAGAAACAAGGATGTTGTTGTGGTTGTCCTGTTGAAAGTCTGAACCTTAACATTGTTTCTTCATTTTCCCCTCTATTTTCTTGAATGCTAATATCTGAATCACCCATGTGTCTGCTTCTTTTGTATTTTCTGTTTTTTGGTTCTGTCCATTGTCATCTCTGATAATTTTATGTTTAAAGCTTTGCAATGTGTGTTGAAAAATTGCAGAGAGTCTATAGGATGTGAAGAGTTCATCCTTTCCTTTCTTTGTCAGGTAGATTGAGAGGCCACTTATCTGAATTTAGTGGCTCTCACACTTTGTTATGTATTAGAATTATCTGAAGATGTAAAAAAATAAAGAAGTCCAACCTTGTTGAAATAATGTAGGGATTGAAATGCTGTGTTTACCAAATTTCCTAGGTGATTCTTACATACTCCAGAGTTTGAGAACCACTACCTATCCAATCAGGAACTGCTGACTAAAGCTGGATTACTGTTTTGGAAAAACTCTTGCTCACTCCTGGCCCTAGAATGTAGTCCCATCCCGATTTCAATTGGAAGCTTGAGGTATTCATTGGAATGCTATCTGTTGATGGATTCTGAACACTAGTCTTAATATCCTCAGTAGCTCTGTAGGACTGCCCCAAATTCTTCTGCTATTCAAAGTCTTAAACTTCAGCCTTCTTATGCAGCATAGATCCAGAATTCAGAAAATACATTAAGAAAAATTAAATAGAATATTTGCCCAATTCTCTCTCCTTCATTTCTTTCTTAGCTTCTGGACCCCCAAGTTTCTAATTTTTGTCTTTTGAGGCCTACGAGTGCCAAAATCTTTGCTGTTTTTTCTGCCTTTTAGTGACAACCCTTTGGGCACATTTTGAGTATCCTGTCTCTTGCCTCAGATCCAGAATTGCCAAATGCCTCAAAGGAAAACACCATTGTCTGATGCTATTTCACCACTCAGCATAGTTTTCCTTTCTCAGGTTGGAATGCTCCTTAGAAGCAAGAATGGCCAGGCTTCATCTCTCATAGTTTAGTTATGTTGTCAGAAAGGAACAGTACCTCAAAAAGGATATCATACTTGGAGAGGGTCACTGAAAAAGAGGAGGACCTTCAAGGAGATGGATTGACACAGTTGCTGCGATGATGGGCTCAAGCAAGGCAACGATTGTGGTGATGTCAGGGGACCATGTTTCATTCTGTTGTATGTGGGGTCAGCATGAGTCAGAAACAACTTGAAGGCTACTAACAATAATTCCTCATTCTCTGAGAGCCCTTCAATACTTTTAAATAGAACTTTAAAAAAATAAACAACAACCATAGCCTTTCTCTTCATTTTCAGCTGCAGCATTGGTACACATCACCCATCATTCATAGAAGCACAAGTAAATTTTGTAAACAAAAGAACATTCATAGTTTAGCTTTTTTTTTTCTCTTTTCTTTCAGGAAAAACATAAACAAGAATTGGAAGACATGAGGAAAGCTGGTCATGAAGCCCTCAGCATTATCGTGGATGAATATAAGGTAGAGATTTGAGAGTCCATAGTTCTTTATTCTTTTTAACGTCAGTAAAAAATGTCTTGAATACCGTCAGTAAAATTTTAAGACAGATAGCCATGTACAAACATACACAAATTACAGAATTATAGTAGTCTTGTTTTGGTATAGAATTCCTTTCAAATAGCCAATAAATGTTCACTGAAAGCATACTTGGTAGATTACAAATGTAATGCTAGATGTTTCTCTGCCTTTGAGATGCTTCTAAATTATTTGAAAATAGAGAATCGGCAGATGAAGAAGTTTGAAGACAACAAAGTCCTAAAGAATTAATTGCTAGATTAGCTTGTTTGTCTCTACTGTGGGTCTACAGCTAATATATTGGGGGTGAGGCGGGAAAGAAGACCTTGGGGGAGACCTTCAAAAATGCTCTCCCTTTTTTCTCTTCCTCTTGCCTTCTCCCTTTTGTCCCTTCTCTCTTCCTTCTCTGCCCCTTTTCTTCTTCTCACCTCCCTTCTCCATTTTCTTTTCTTAAATAAATTAAATAGTTTTGGTTCCTTTTAATAATACAATTACGATAAATGACAGTATCAGTGATATACATAACATTAGTCTGTTAATTTTGTGCATGCATGAACTTAAACTTTTAAAGCAAATTGAGACAATTTGTTTTCCAATGCTTAATGACGATGTGTTTTTTCCTCCCTACACTTGATGTTATATATTTATTTTTTTCTCCACAATGGAGGAATACATTCTTGTTGAAATAAAATTAAAACCATTCTCCCAAGAGGTAACTTATGTTAGCAGTTTGGTATACATCTTTCTAGATGTTTTTCTTCATATTTACAGACATATGTGTTCATATCATGCTATGTAGTTTTGATTTACATTCATAAATATGTTATCATATTCAATTTATTCTTTTGTTACGTGCTGCGTTTATTTAATATAATTTTCATGTTAGCATAGAGTTACCCTAGTGTTGCTTCTGTTCTATAGTGTCCCATAATATAAATATATATATATTTTTAAATGCCAGTATTATAGGTGTTTGTTTATTTTTGATTGCATATTATTACACTCAGTATAAAAAAAATTATTCTACCACTTACAGAGCATAGAAATTATTTCTTATTGTTGATTAAATTTTACACTAAACTTGATAGAAGTTGATGTCATTTCAGTTAGCTGAAAATTTAATCTCACTATCTTTTATAAGAAGTCATTTTAATAATAGAAAAGAAGATACAGAATTCATTTCAGGTAAAAGTGCTTTTTCTTTTTAACCTGGAGTATTAAAATAGCCTGTTAGATGTGCCTTAGGCAGGAAAAGTCTTTTTTTTTGTTGTTGTTGTTGTTGTTGTTCTTTTTATAAGGATTTGGGTGAAGATTTACAGAGTAAATTCACTTTTCATACAGCAGTTCACATATACTTTGTCTCATGTCATTGACCAAAATTTACAGT